AGGCGTTTCAAACATTTTCATCATCACACATTTCAGAAAACACATTAAAACAAAGGGTTTCAATCCAGCTGGTTCATAGGTTTGTCTATATATAGTTTATGAAAATATTTAGAAGTGCAGCAACATCTCATTTCATTCTTAGTTCTGGCTAATGAGAGTGAGCTGAAAATTCATCGGTAAGCAAAGTTCTTGAATGTTGAAGAAAATATATATTTTATATATATACATATACAGGAAGAATTAACTTAGAAAGAATGATTAGTAATACAAACCAACCCTTGGCTCATTGAGTGAAAAAGAAATCATCATGCAAACCATCAGCAAGCAAAGGTCAGAGGTCGTTAGAGGCTCAGAAAAGGGGTTTCCCACATTGTCCCTGCAGCAGAGTCACAGTTTCCAATGATCACTTTTGTGACTATGCAACTGGGCTCATATTACTAGCTGCAACATCACAAAAATGACACTGGCAACCGCTAATTAGCTGGCAAAATAAGAATTTGTCCATTTTTAAAGTGAGCAGTGTTAGTAAATGCCATTGCACACAGCGAGAAGTGATAGCATAATAGATATATATTTTAAGCAAAGCCCTCACATGTGATGCTAATTATCTTTTAGCTTAGCAGTCCCTCTTTAAAGTGTAAATGTGCTCCCTCTGGGCTCAAGAAATATTTAATTACACATATCAGTGCATGACTAACAAGCTAGTCCAGAGCAATAATGATTGGTCTATTGTTCAAAATGAAATTAGGACTCCAGAAGCATTTAAAACTGACCAGTGGTTTCTGTAGTAGCCTCACCTCTCAGGGACTGTCTTTTGCACAGATTTTTAAAATATATAGAATAATCTCTTTTTGGCAATTTATACCTACATTATGAAAGTATGATAGATTATTCCACAAAGTTTAATGTATCTGCTAAATGCAAAATCATCTAAAACACTGTCTGATACATAGTAAGAGAAATGTAAGCTTTCAGTTTTCAAAGAGACTTGCAAAATTTACTTCATTAAAAATTTTAAGGTCCATATTTCCACAGACTCTGGGCAAGGTAATTTTGGGAATCCAATTTTTCTTGGTGATGAATTATAAAAAATAGAGGGTTGGTTATGTATATGCTTAATTTCATATATGTATGTGAATATATAAATATACACACATATCCATATATATATACAAACACACTGAATGCACATAAAAACATAGATTAAAAGAAATGAGGGCAGCCCCTTCCGAGCACTACCCTACTACGAGTATGGTAGCGCTGCCAGACATTTATTCTGGGGGCTTTATGACTCAGCTGTCGTAATCCAGCAGAGTTTGTACTTTAAATAGGAAGCTTCAGGTGCAACACGTATTGTATAAATGAATTCCAAATACATTATTTTAGCAATAGTGCATTAGTTTTTTTGTCATTAGAAAACCAGCAACATCAGATGACCAAGAAAACTGAGATTCATAGACCAGCTATTGTGCATGCCAAAATTCCTTTTCAGGCGGAATTTTACTATGCATTCAGTATTATGAGTTCATTGTACAAAATCTGCACGTAGCAAATGATTACAGTACCCTACACTGGACTGTGAATACATATTAAATGAACACTCAGAATTCAATTAAATCTTAACAGGTTTAAGCCATTCCCATACTGGCTTTAAATACAAAGAATGACAGCTCCACTACTTTTCTCATCTAGTCGTAATTTTTCTTTTTCAAAGTATTGCACAACACTTCTTCAACATGGCTATTTAACCCTTACACAACGTCACTCTAAGCAGTGCTTTCCTAGCGATGTGAACTGCGAGTTACTGTAGATCTAATCCTGCAGTTCACGCAGGGACCTCAATTCTTACTGAAGCAAGTCGGAGTTGAGGTGCTCTGAACTTCAGGCGTCCTGGCTGCACAGGCTCATTTATAGTCTAGTTACAACTGCTAGCAAATTTCCCACTAACTTCAAAAAGGGCAAAATCGGACGCTGTGTTGGTTCCGTGCTGCAGCCTCGCACGACTTAATGGAACCAATTCAGAATTTCCACTACAGAAATTCACTATAGGCAAATCCACGGTACCACAAGCAAAGGGAAATCAACCAATAAAAAGTCTGAACCCAGACAAGAAAACCTTGAAAATTCAATTACAATTTCAACTCCATCCTATGGCTGTGCTTCCTTCCTCTGCTATTGCTTTTGCGTCGCGATTCTGTAGCATATCCTTGCATTCTTACCTAGCCATAGTTCCTAGTGACGCAGGACAGCTGTACTCTGTTACTTGACCTGCACTGTGTGAGATGACTCTCTGCTTTGAAAAGCCTTGCAATACGTACAAGAATACTGATGGATGAAGGGTGGCATTTAGTCCTAAATTTTTAAGGGTAAAATTTTGCCAACAGATAACTGCAACCAGCTCCCGTTGGATACAAGCCAGCTTCTCCCCTCAGGTGCAGCGGCGTAACTCCGACTGGCATCAGTCAGAGCTCCCAGCACTTATTGAAAGAAACAAGTTTGGACCTTTTGAGCGCTGAGCCCCTTATAATCGCTTTGGGGGGTTGTAGCTACTATTGTAGTACAGAGAGGAAAACACGTGATCGCACAGGCCGCTTGCGGATTGAGAACCAACTCCCCAAACCTCCCGGAGATTCTTTTCATTAGTCATAAACGCATCGCTGTGGATTAGCTGATATACACTAACACCTACACACGATGCACTGGGCACGGTTTGCAATCAAATGAAGATTATTTCACTTCAGTATTTATCATGCATGGCTTTAATTTTCAAATTAAAATTTAGATAGACACAGCAAACATTAGAGAAGGTGGCAAGGACTTTCACCGGTTTTGCCTCTGTATATTTGTATTTTAAAGCTACGTTGACTTTCTTTAAAATTCCAGAGGGTATGCTTTGTCAACATTTTCATCTGCTTTCTCAAATTTCCACCTTCCTGCAGCCAAAGAAAGTCTAGAGTCCTCACTGTTTGATCCTTATGAGCAAACGCTCCCAGGGGAATGCCATTATTGCCATATGACTCCATCGTGATTTTTTTTTTCAAGTGTGCTCATACTATACAATTTATTTGTGAGATTCCTGCAATAAGGATCATAGGGGAGCCACACAAAAAGCCTGGAAGTTGCAGAATGGATAAATACTCGGAAAACAAAGAAATACAGAAGCAATGAAGAGCTGTACAAAAGGAGGAAAGGTATCGATCTCTAAGTGGGAAATGAGTATGTCTTAAAACCAGGCAACACCTATGTGTGAGACAACACTAAAAATCAACCTACTGCACATTTTTGTGTTAGTTTAGCATTGTGGCATCGCAGGCTGAGGACCCCCCTTTCAAACCGGAAATATTTAAAGGACAATTAAAAGGACTAGTTTAGTTCCTCAGATCTGTATCGTCTTAAATGAACTGTCATACTTTGTGCTTTACCTGCGGAAATCCAGAAGTGATCTCGTGGAAGCAGGAACCCTCTGATCGTTCCAGCTGAGGAAGTGGAACTGTGTCACTGTGCGGGTCTCGTTCGTCTGCAGGTTCTTCAGGTAGAAGCTCCTCACGAGGAAATCCTCGCACCAGATGTGCTCAGAGACAAGGTTTACCTACACCCCACAGGAAGGAACAAATGGAGATCAGCAATTTCAGTTGCAAGCCACATCTTCAGGATTGCAGGTGTAAGACGTCTGGGATGAAGGAATTGCACAAAAGTTTTATTTTTATTAGCAAATTGGCCAGTGCTGGGCAAATACTGTTTTTGATTTAGCAATCAGTGTAGTTGTCAGGAAGGGGTTAGCTGCCACTGCTATTTTATTGAAAACAAAAAAAAATCTTGAGAGTTTTAATGCAAAAGGAAAAATCACTGAATTGAAACTTTATATCGTTATGTGAATATAAAAGACGCTGTCGGAAAATATGTTAGGCTGCCAGTTGCTTTCTACTCGGAAATGCCTACAATGCATTGCCCAGGCCACTCTCAGAGGTCTTAAAAATCTCAGAGTTGAATCCACATGAGAAGCGAAAAGTCAGTTTCTTCTGCTATGTAGAAAAATAAGCATAAAAAATGCAGCTGATTTGCAGAGTTCATCTTTTCAGGAAAAAAGTTTGTTCACATTTTGGTTTAAATAACTGCATTTCTTCACATTTTTCTATTCTTGGTATTTGGCATTGTGGTATTATTTTCTTCCTCTACTCAGCTGGACAACTGAAAAAATCTGACAGCCATTATCAATGTTACATTGCAACAAAACTGGTGATATGATATTTTGGGCTAGAAATGTAAAGCAGAAAAAAAAAAATTGTTGTTGTGACTGAGGCAAAAGGTAAAAATAGATAGCATTAATTACTAAAGCTATATAGGGGCTTTTCTACAAAGATATACATACGGTTTTCCTAAGGCAAAATTCACTAGTTCTAAAAATACTATTTTCCTATAAAATATAAATACACGGTTTCACATTTCAACCACTTGCAAAACCATTTGAAAAACAAATTTTTTATTCTTTTTTCATTGTAATACTTGGCTCATTATTTACTAGATTTTATTCAGCGGAAACGACCTTGCTATTAAAACTGTGCTTGAATGTTTCACGAATCTAAAACTACTTGAAGGCACAGGAAGAGTATTTAAGAGCCCTCACCTCGACCTCCAGGTTAGATCGGCTTAAACACCATTTTGCCCCATAGGAAATCAACCCGTACACTTACTGTCACGTTTACAACCAGATATTTTGTTTAGGTACCTCATAGATGTGGTAGAGGTTTGACCCTTCGTCTGGCCAATAGTGGTAGCACTGTTTGACTCCGTTTTCCGCGAGCGGTGTCAGCATGACAATAACGACACAGCCGTTCTCCCAGACCATCTGCAGACAAAGAAAGACACCGTGGCCACATTGTGACTGCCTAATTACTGCGTGACATGTATAATTACTGCACTCAGACACACAATCAAAATTTATTCCATTCACAGGAAATTTATTTCATTTTCATTAGACACTTTTACTCTGCAGCTGCTTTCAAATCCCTGAATAAACTGGCACCATATTTTGCAGGCGTCCATGAAATATTAAAGAATTTCCAGCGATTTCAATTCGGGTCTTCCACAGAATCTCTCCTCGTTCCTGGTACCATGTTCAGCTGCTTTTCTGGCAAACTTTTAGACCCGCAAAGGGAATACTGAATGATGCTTGCAGAACGCACAACTATTTGGGTTTTGATATTTAATACTACAGCAGCATGGACCTACTGAAGTCGCATGTATTGAAACCTGTTTGTGTCATCAGCCATATTTCTTTTTACAGTTCACCACGTAGCAAAAGCTACCAAACGGCTGCACTGCTGAAACAATCATAGAAGTTGCATCTGAACAACAATAATGAGGAAAAGGCAGGAAAAACCCAAACCAAATCTGTTCTTCCAGAAACATTTCAGATGGGAGAAATCGTCCCTCCAAAAGCACATTTATAAAAGATTTGTTGCAAATGTGCATTACTTTCTCTTTCTTCTTTTCTTCCTTCTTTTTTCTTTCTTTCCTTCCATTTTCCTTTTTCATTTTTTCTGTTTCTTTTTTCCTTTTTCCCCTTTTCCTTTTTTCTTTTCTTTTTTCTTTTAATTTTCTTCCCTTATTTTTTTCATTCTTTCTCTCCTCCCCTTTCCTCTTTTCTCTCTCTCTTTTCCCCTTTTACTTTCCTTCTTTTTTTCTGGAGGTAGAAGGAAAGTCCAACTTCTGCTGCAGACCATGCACTCACAGAGCAGGAACTGAGGAAATCAGTGTATCTTCACTACCAGCATGATCGCTTAATAATTTAGACCAGCTACAGAGTAGGATACAGGAATCCAGCGCAACCTCAACTAAAGGATTTGTGGATGTCTCCCACAAACAGCAGAACAAGCAGAGATGCTCTGGTCTGGCATATCTCTGTTCCAAACACAGCCTAAGGCTGAACAAAAAGCCTCCTATGAATTAATACCAAGCAGCATAATCACTAAAAACTGTTATTATTATGCTGTACATTGATGTTATATTTGCATACAACTTTCATTGTCTTTTTGCTAGCATATAAAATTACTGAATGAAGAGTAAACTGCTCTTTTTGTGAAGGGTTATGTTTATTTCACAGAAATATTTATAAGCAACTGTATTGACATGTAAATTTTGTAAACAAAAAAGGCCTTTGTCTAAACTGTGCAAAGATGAGATGATACATTCAATTCAAGGATTATTTTTTTTTAATTACATATCAAATAAAAAGGTTTCCCATTCATAGATAATGATGTTGTCTTCTCTTTTAAGAATAGCTTGCATATAGAGAAACAAATAACATTCGTCTTCCTTTTTTTTTCATTTTGCAACAGAATTAAAACAACTTTTAAAACCAGCTTAGAATTATTCAGAGAAATGAATCTAGGGTTTGCACAGAATAGGGTTATTTATAATTTTGAACAGAAGTGGGGAAAAAAATTACAGTTGAATATAACGAATAAAAATAATCTTTATCTTCTTTTTTTTTTCCCTCTTAAAAAATTTCTGTAATCCACTCATCCTCTGTTAAAAACTCACAATGACACAAAACCAGCAAAAATTCTTTAAGTTGATAGATAATTTATTTTATAGACAGATGTAGATATCATTTGTAAATGTCCTGAAACCAGGACATGCATTTGTTTTAGGCCACAGCTGGGAACCTTCTTTGTATGTAAGGAAGATGATATAGATTTCATTCATTCTAACGTAGTTTCACCTTTTTTAGTCAGCAATCAGACTAAGATAAGAATTCAAAACATGTATCTTACTTTAAAACTAGCCCCACTAAATCAGTACTTTCATCACATAACGATTTAATGTGCCTCTAGAAGGTATAGAAGCTCATTGAAGCCATTACGAAAATGAGGAGAAACACAGTTTTTATGAGTGTAATAAAAATACAATGATCTAGACCATAAACTAATCATCTAGCACTCTGCTTGTGCCACCCAAGTGTAACATTATAAAAGCCCACTCGTTTAGAGAGGAATCCTTACAGTTTGGCAACCCTGTTCATTGGTTCAAAGATACAGCATTTCATTAGAGAGGGGCCGTCTGCATCTCTGAAGATTTCATTAAGCATAAATCCAAATGAAAGTTAATTTAAACAAACAATTTCAAAGTTACTCTGGGGCATAATATTTCTTTTAGGTCATTGTGTGAAAATGTAGAAGTCAGATCTACTAAATCAAGGAGGCAATACAATCTAGTGCCGACATCCCCGTTACAGGCAATTGTCACTGCATCTCCTGTGCTTACCATTGAGACGGGATTTTCACTAAGACTCACAGCCTGTGACTGGAGGACTACAGCATTTTCTTTGTTTCCTTGATAACTTAAGTACTAGACCATCGGGCTGTTAGCTGGATTTCTTTCCAAATAACGCAGAAGCGGGATGATTCAAAGGCAGTTCACAGAGTTTTATATTGTTGGCTGTTCACCGCCCCATCCTTAACTTGGTGGTGGGTTTTTCAGAAGCCACACCTCCCAACAGCTAACACTTTGCTGTGCTCAGAGTGTCCAGACAAGGCCATGTGCTAGAAAGTGGCCCCAAGGAGTGTGTCTTTGTAATTAATGAAGGAACAGGTAGCACAGACCTGGTCTGCACCACCCCAGTACAGCCTTCGGAGAAGTGCCTCTGGTTACCAAAGCGACATTTGAGCCTGGCTTGGAGAATAAAGGAGGAGGTTCAGTTGCAAATTCACAGTAATTCATGTAATTCTGAACTTTGTATGCTTGCACAATAGAAAGTAAGTCAATGCGATATAAGAATAAAGAGAATATAAGGTCCTCAGGGCAGAGGTTCTTCTTTTTAGGTAGAGCCCAGCAAAATGAAGCCCTAGACTCTAAGTGTCTATAAAAACTAAATATATATAAAAATATTTTTATAGAT